TGAGACGCTCCAACCAGTCGTAATGCCAGGAAAGGGAGATGGAAATCCATATCCTCGAACTTTGCCCCACCGAAGTGTAGGGGTACCACTGAGGCGGCGGGCCCCAAGGGACTCGGACAAGATTGCTGCGAGGGGAGAAGGGGGTAACAGTTCTGTGAGTGAAGGCTGTCAGGCTCCTACCTGAACTCTAACCCGCCAACCCCCTCTTGTGTGTTAGGCGCCCAGTCGCCTCACACCGTGGTCAAGTAGAATGACTTCCAAGCGCGGAGAAAAGCAGGATGGAGGAAGGGGTGGGGAGACAGAGGAAGTGCGACCGCGGGGCAAGACAAGTAACCCAAATTGTCGTCTTGCTCCGGAGCAGCAGACGCTGAGCTCCGGAAGGGGAGCTCAGTGCCCAACTCACTGCTTTCCCGGTAGTTTAGTGAGCACACCTCCAGAAGAGTGTGCTAGCACGGTGTCCCCCCACACCTAGATAAGTCCATGCTTTCCCTTGGGCTGCACCAAGAGACGAGCGAGCCCCAGCCCTCGCTAGTTCAACACTTGGAAGACCGCGTGAGATTGCTCAGCGTCGCGGCTCTGGGCAAACTCCTCCTGTAGTTTCAAGACAGACCTAATTACAGCCACACAAGGTAGTTTGAACTGCAAGGTCGGTGCTTCAAGCTCACCAGCTGCTCCCTGGAAACCCTATACAGGGTCGCTATGGGTCGGAATCCACTCGACGGCACTTCACAACAACAACAACAACAACAATCATCCAAGGGTTCCATTCCCACCTCCACCCCTGCCCTCCAGTCGCACTGTGAAGAGCAAGTCAGCAGGAACCGTAACGTAAGAAGGGAGGGAGGGTCGGCTTAGACTCCACTGATAACACACAATACTCCGCAATAAATACTCAACAACTTCTCTCCGGATATCCGAATATTTTGGAGTGGAAAGCCCAAACAGGCGTCCCAAAGGCTTCCTCAATCGTTTCTGCGGGAGGGAGGTAGATTTAGCGCCACCAGTGACCTCATAACCAAAATTCGCAGAGCTTGCCGTCAAGGCTGCAAACAGGGGTGTGGGGCCCAAGCCTCCGGGGGGGAAAAATGCTCAGATTTACCGAAGGGGCGACAGACTCAGCGGGTCACAGACACAGTGGGGAAGACTGAACCTGCCAGTGGAAAAGGCAACAACCATAGGACAAGTGAAGAAAAAGAATCCCAAATTCAGGAGTCTTCAGTCTCCCAGCCTCCAGAGCACCAATCCCTGGCATTGTTTAAAACAAACTGGTTCACAGCCATAGGAAGGAGCAAAGATACCAGAAAACCCTTTTCCCAAGGCCAGAATACTGCTGCTGTTGTTCGGTGCTGTTGAGTTGGTTCAGACTCATAGCGACGCTATATGGGGTTCCGGGGTAGCAGCTGGTGAGTTTGCACTGGCGACCCAGTGGTTAGGAGTCCCGGCCAGAATGCTAAATAGGAGTATCTGGATAAACAGACAAGCCCTGAACTGAGAATCTGAATACCCGGGTCAGACCTCATTGGGGCACTTACAAAAGTTGGGCAAGTCAAATGATCTCTTAAGTCTGCTTCCACCCCTTTAAAAGTGTATGTGTGTGTGGTGGTGAGAGGTCTACATGGTTCTTTAAGACCCTCCTGAATGGGGGTGTCCCATAGTTCCTTTTCCCAATCTGGGTCTCAACAGCAGCAAGTGGAATATAGCAGGGTCAGGCAGACGCTGGGTCTTGGGACTAACAACTCCATAGATCTTCCAGCCTGGAGTGTAAGACCCAGGGTATTTTCGCTTCAGCCAGTCTTACCCGGAAGCTGGTCAAGTGGCTGGTGCATGGGGGTGGGGGGATCAGGAGAACCCTGGTAAGGAAGGGAGCCACGGATTCACACTTGTCTTATTAGAAATGAAGACATCTAGAGGAGAGATTGGTAGGATGCTACCAACGCCGGTTTTCTCATTTATTCAGACGCTGCTAGCACAGCTGAGCTACTTTTGAGTTGCTGCTGTGTGGTCGAGAATGTGGGGTGTCTATGAACACGTGGGTGGGTGGGGTGTCCTTTCAGTGTGAAAGAGATCTGCATGTAGGACAGAGCAAGCTTATAGGATGTGTAGGGTTGCCAGAAGAAAAAAATATCTGCTAACTCTAGGAGCATGTCAGTTGATCTGAATTCATGCAAGAATTCAACATGTCAGTTGATTTGAATTCATGCAAGAAAACTTTCTCCAGGACCTGTTGTTGGCTCCTCCACCCCCAACACACACTTTTTTCTGGAGGGCTCTATCACTTAGGAAATTCTAATTTCAGGGCCATTAATCCTTGTCCATTGTACAAGGGCTTGACCTCTTTTTCTTGTCCCAAGGAGACTCAACTTACATAGATCCAGCATACTACGTGGATCTTCTCCTTCACAGGTCCCAGAAGGGGGGCCCAGAGGACCTGCTGCCTACCCTTCTCTGCTCTCTTATGGCCTGATGACTTGGGTGGATGGAGAAATCCACCATGGAGGTTCTGAAACCAGGCCGGACTCTAGCTTGTAAAAGTCTGGGTTAGTTCTTTCCTTCTCTCAGAGCCTCTGCTGCCCCACCTAGGAAACGAGAGAGTTTGATTAAGGCTAGACTACTGCATAGATTCTGGAGTCCTGGTAGCACAGCGGGATAAGCATTGAGCTGCTAATTGAAAGGTTCTTTCCTCACCTTTAAGCAGGGGGATGTTGAAGCTCTCTGCTTCCATAAAGATTACAGCCTTGGGAATCCTATGAAGCAGTTTTTGTCTGTCTTGTAGGGTCACTTTGGAGCCCTGCAGGATAATACATTGGACCTAAAGGTCAATTTGAACCTAAAGGTCGGAAGTTCAAATCCACCAGCTGCTCCTCTGAAACCGTATACAGGATCGCTATGGGTCGGAACCGACTCGACGGCACTTAACAACAACAACAACAGGGTCTCTTTGAGTTGGAATCGACCCAATGGCACTGGTTGTTTGGTATTCCATGATTTGAGGCTGCTTTTAGATCAAAGGGAGAAGGAATCCTACTGAACTCTGCTGACACAGCTCCAGGGCGCTTATCTACGAGGGTCCTACCTCGGTACAGTATTGCTAATGCAGTGGGTGTGAGTTGGGATGAGGGAGGAGGTCTGGACAAGGACTTGGGCTCCAGGTCGGGAACTACACCATCCCCTCCGTAGCTCTCTCCCTCTCCAGAGAACAGTGCCTCAAGAGTTTCATAAGTATCCCATATATCTAGTTTTACATATTAACCATAAGATAAGTGTTTTCAACCTCATTTTTACAGAGAAAACATAGGAACAGATAGGTAAGAAATTTGTCTAAGGTGAAAGAGCTAACAGTGAACTCAGAAATTGAACCCCGGCAACCTGACTCCAAGATCCTTTACTTTTAATTACTATGCTCGCCAAGAAACTGAGGCTAGGAAGGGGAAGTAACCTTCTGACACGGTCTTGTGACAGCCGCAGAGCTGCTGGGTCTCTGGCTTCGCAGGCCAGCTTTGACCACTGCGTGGCGCTGTCGGGGCAGCCGCAGCGCCAGCCGCTCAGTTCTTCACTGAGTCGATCGCCCACCTTTCTTTCCTTCCATTCCCCAGCGGTTAAAATGGGCCTAGTCTGAGTTGGCGGTACTCCTTGCTAGGTACCTGGAGGAAGCAGGAAGGTCGAAAAGAATGAAGGCACAGGACCAAACGTCATGTGCACAGTATCCTGAGAGATAAACGTAACTCTGGCACCGGGTTGAGGTCAGGGCTTGTTGTGGGGGGCCTGCTGTCGTCTACAGTTCCAGTCAGAAAGGAAGGAGCAAGCCCGAAATGAGATTAGATGCGAAAGAAGGAGAAATTTAACTAGGGACTCCCAGACATAGGAACAGTTCAACATCAACAGATGCAGAGTTTCCACAAGAAACGGAGGCAGATTCACCAAGAGCGAAAAAGAGTCAACTCACAAAAACGGAGACAAATGGATTGGAGTACAGAAAACAGGTCACGGGACAGGCCGATTTCGAGCGTCTGACCGGCAATCATGACGGGAATTCGGCCGCAGCGTGACCGAGTGACAAACAGTTCGCTCCCGGACCCGGGTCTTCCTGAACCCACTCCAGAGTCTGGAGTCCCCCGGCGTGGAGCGGGTATGAGTGCGGAACCCTCGCCTGGCAAGGGAAGAGGGCGCAGCCGGAATCTCTCACCTCTACTAGGTCTGCGGCTGCGAATGCAAGTTTCGTTCTCGGGATCACTCAAGTCCGACTCCACCTTGGGCCGGAAGCCTTTCGGGCTCTGGCGGGCCCCGCTCCGGCGGCGTTGATCTGGGCGTCTCTGGATCCCTTTCGCGTTCCAACTGCGCTTGGTGGCCCGGGCGCCGCCTTGGGGAGACGATGAGTGGGGGCTGTCGCCACTTTTCTCGGCTCGGGCTGGTGTCAGTGTGAGCCTGGACTTCCCAGTAGCTGAGCGAACCGTAGGCAGTGGCTCCACTGGGCGAAGGGTTTGCGGGAGCTGCCAGAAAGAGGGGGACCCGCCTCTGGCCACCGGAGCACAGCTCCCGCCGCTGCAGCGGTTTGTTCCCGCCGGGCCTTCAGCAGAGGCGCTCTGCCCGCCCCTCCCGCCCCACCCCGCCCAGGGAGCTCCGCCCCGGGCCCTTGGTTCTTCCGCCTTAGGCAGCTGCTAGGCGGGAGGGGACTAATCCCTCGACTCCCCCAAGGACCGAGGGCCTGGGCCTGCCTAGGCAACGGGAGGCCTCAGCTCCTCCACCCGGACCCTGGCTGCAGACCTTAGCGCTCGCTCCGAGGGCAGCGAGAGTCGCCAGTCAAGTGCGCAGCGGGAGGTGAGAGGAGCCGAGTTAAGCCACCAGGGGGCGCCGCAGAGCTGGGGGATACCCCTCCCAGTCCGCCTCAGTCCCCCGCCCCCTCCCCGCCCGCGCGCAAAACACACTCGCCCCAGAGGCAGCACGGCGGAGCGGGAGCCGCGGCTGGAGCGGAGCCGGAGAGCGGCGGCGGCGGCGGCGGCACCATGACCCTGGGCAGCTGCTGCTGCGAGATCATGTCCTCCGAGAGCTCTCCGGCCGCACTGTCCGAGGCGGACGCAGACATAGACGTGGTGGGCGGCGGCGGCGGCAGCGGCAGCGGTGGTGGGGAGCTCCCAGCCCTCTCCGGGCCCCGTGCCCCCCGGGACGTGCTCCCCCACGGCCCCGAGCTTCCCCCGGCGGAAGCAGAGGCAGACGCAGCAGAGGATGAGGAGGAGTCGGGCGGCTGCTCAGACGGCGAGCCCCGAGCTCTAGCGCCCCGGGGGGCGGCGGCCGCAGCGGGAAGCCCGGGGCCGGGCGTGGCGACGGCCCGCGGAGCTGCGGGGCCCGGACCCGGACCGCCGTCGGGGGGCGCGGCGACGCGAAGCCCGCTGGTGAAGCCGCCCTACTCGTACATCGCGCTCATCACCATGGCCATTCTGCAGAGCCCCAAGAAGCGCCTGACGCTGAGCGAGATTTGCGAATTCATCAGCGGCCGCTTCCCCTACTACCGGGAGAAGTTCCCGGCCTGGCAGAATAGCATCCGCCACAACCTCTCGCTTAACGACTGCTTCGTCAAGATTCCCCGAGAGCCGGGCAACCCTGGCAAGGGCAACTACTGGACGCTGGACCCGGAGTCTGCCGACATGTTCGACAACGGCAGCTTCCTGCGGCGCCGCAAACGTTTCAAGCGGCAGCCTCTGCCGCCGCCACATCCACACCCGCACCCGCACCCGGAGCTGCTGTTGCGTGGTGGGGCCGCGGCGGCTGGGGACCCCGGCGCCTTCCTGCCGGGCTTCGCCGCTTACGGCGCCTACGGCTACGGTTATGGGCTGGCGCTCCCGGCCTACAGTGCACCTCCGCCAGGCCCTACCCCGCATCCGCATCCACATCCGCACGCCTTCGCTTTTGCCGCCGCAGCTGCCGCAGCGCCTTGCCAGCTGTCTATGCCCCCAGGTCGCGCCACTGCGCCTCCACCCGGACCCCCGACGGCGTCGGTGTTCGCTGGCGTAGCCTCTGCTCCGGCCCCTGCGCCCGCCCCGGGCACCGGCTCGGGCCCGGGCCCAGCGGGCCTGCCCGCCTTCCTGGGCGCGGAGCTTGGCTGCACCAAAGCGTTTTATCCCGCGTCACTGAGCCCTCCCGCAGCCGGCACAGCGGCGGGTCTGTCCACCGCACTCCTGCGTCAGGGCCTCAAGACAGACGTGGGCGGTGGCGCGGGCGGCGGGTGCTCGGGGGCAGGGCAGAGGCCTTCCTTCTCGATAGACCACATTATGGGCCACGGTGGCGGTGGGGCAGCACCTCCGGGCGGCAGCGAGGGCTCCCCAGGATCGCCATTCGCTGCGGCCGCGGGTCCTGGAGGTCAAGCCCAGGTTTTGGCCATGCTGACTGCCCCGGCCCTGGCTCCAGTGGCCGGTCACATTCGCCTCTCGCACCCTGGGGACACTCTTCTGTCCTCAGGGCCTCCGTTTGCCAGCAAAGTTGCTGGCCTCAGCGGCTGCCACTTCTGACCAAGGCGGACTCAGGGCCAGTTAGGCCCGCACTCCTCCCGGGAGCTCCTGCGGTCCCAGTGGATCTCAGGGAGTCTATTTATGAAGAGTCTTCAGACCTTGGGGCCGGCGCGCGCGACTTGGCACTTCAGGCTCCACACTCAGAATTTCACCGATTAGTTGGGACGAAGCGGGCCCTATGTCTCAGAGAGAAGCCCGGATCTATGCGACAAGGTCGCAAGCAAAGACCCTGTTCCAGTTCGAGCAGTGTTAGTGTGGATGGGTGGGAGTTTCTACATTTTCCCAGCCCCCGTGCCCCTTGGCAGTCCCTGAAGAATCATCTAGAGAGAGAGAGAGAGAGAGATGCTATCCGGGTCTGGCGGATCGCGTCAGAAACACCTACTGCGCTGAGAGGTTTTCTTTTCTGCCTCTCTTTTACATCTTCCATCTGGAAGCCCTGCTTGACTAATATTATAATTTAAAGACACCTATTATCCAGTTTATGCTAAAAAGGAAAGTGTTCCCCCCTTCCGCCTTTTTTTTTTTCCCCTGTTATCTAAGAAAGTCTTCCCTTTAAAGCCAAAAGTAGTATCTACGCAGGTGAAGCTGAATGGAGAGATGTTAAATGCAGTCCCTGAGCAAACTCCCATCTCATTCCACCGAGGAAAAACCTTCCTCTTGTTTAGTTGTTTGGGTACTTTTAAAGGAACTATCCCACTCTCCCTTTGCTGGCTGGGTTTAGCTGCCCAGAGCAGCAAGCTCTGTCAGCGTCTTGCTCCACCCCAGGCCCAGTGATATTTATTATAGCTAAAGGCATTGAGGTTGGGATGGAGTGGAGGGTCTGAGTTTGGGACTGGAGCGGTGGGGGGATGGGTGAGGGCAAATCCTGTGGCAGGAGGTCCTGTAATTATGTGTAAATATCTGTATAGCGGGCTGCTGTCTACATTCTCGTCCACTGGGTGTACATTGATTAAGACTTCTTCACTAGAGGGGAAACTGTGAAATCTTATGATGGTTTGTGTGGAAGAAAAGAAAAATCTGTTTCCCTCACTCCCCATTGGTGTCAATTGAATAAATGTATGTGAACTTCAGCAGTCACCAGGTCTGTCTGCTTGTCTGCAAGCCCTTGTCTTCGGGTCAAGGCTCTCCCAGACATCTCCTAGCTCTGGGCAGTAAAGGAGTGAGAAAGGGCTCCTGGGTAGCCCAGGCAGGCAGTGGAGGGTTTGGGCTTATCAAATATGGGGAGTACTGAAGCTTCAAACTCAATAGGGCCAGACTTCTGAGAAGCCCGTGTCCCTCCTCCCCCAACACTACTTTCATTTTCTGTCTGGAAATAGAAAGTCGTTTCTGCCTGGAGTTTGCCCGAGGGTCTTCTTTCAAATGCACCTGGGGGTCTTATCTCCTAGTTAAGACCTTAGAGGTCTAGGCAAATCTGGATGCCCCTGGACACCACTACTACCCGTTAAGTATCATTTGAGGTGAATGTATCTTGGTTTTTGTATATTTTATATGCCTGTGTGAGGGGACTTTTATGGAGCTTGTGATTTTGTGTTTGTGCTTGTCTGTGTCTTCATATGTCTTTGCTTCTTGTGTTCTTGTGTGTGTATGAGTTAGTTGTATTTCTGGAGGTGTGTTTTATTGTGTTATGTACCTATGAATGTGTGTGTATGTGCTTGTGAGTCCTTGTCACTGTATCTGTAAAAGGTGGAAGGTTTGTGTTTGGTCATTGTAGGGTCTGCTTTGGTACGTGTTCCCCTCTACACACATGGAATCGTTATTGTGAAGGGTGTGAATTGAATCTAACCCAAGAGGGTTAGATTTGCACTATGAGCTCAAGGAGAGGGTCGGTCAGTGGGTTAATCCTCTCCCCTGCTTTGAGCATTGTTTGGCCTGAGTGTAAATTCACTGGGCCCGTTGAGCCTCCCGAGCTCCCTGCCTTGGATTTTCAGTGGCCTTGTAGGGTAAGAAGTGATGCTTTGGGTGCAGCAAAGAAAAGAGCCTAGCTCCTTTCACTGTATATTTAACTGAGATGTAATGGGAGGTACAGGAAGTGGCAGTTCAACCTTCTAAGAAAATAGACACATGCTGAGAGCAAGGATGGGGGAACCTAGTGAGAGCAGGATAGAGTCAGAAATAAAGATGCAGAGAACTTGAGAGGGGTGGGCAGAGAGAAAACTTTTAAACTAGGATCCTGGGTGCTAGCAACAGTAGGAAGTTAGAAGAGGTAGAGGAGAGAGGCCCCTATAGGGAGAAGGTCCGAGCCAGGATTTGGGGTGGAAAGAACACCAAAGCCTTGGAAGAATTGTTGGGACTCCAGAGTCTCCTACGCTCTTCTCCGGTGAAAGAGAGCAAAGGCTTCATACTTGCGGTGCAAGGGAACTAGTTCCTCTGTCAGAGGTGAGGGCACCCTTTTCTCCATCTCACTGAGAGACTGTGAGTGGAGGAAGGTGGAATGCAGTGGACCACTGTTTTACCAAATGCCCTGTACAGGGTCGCTATGAGTCAGAACTGATTCCACGGCACGTAACAACAGCAATTGGTTAAAAGGGGATATGTCTGCTAATACCAGGATAGTGGTCTTTGGCTGGCTGCTTCCTTGATGCCTGTTTTTCTGAGTTTGATTTCTTTTCACTTGAAGAAGTATGTGTGTGTCCTGGATAAAACGCTTAATCTCATTTTCCGTGAATATGCCACTCCCAGATATTAGGTTGCCTATGTGAGAGAGAATTTATCTGATCATATTGTGTGGTGCTATAATCTATTTAGATGTGTGTTTAAGGCTCCATATCAGGAAGACTAGAAATAAGAGGATTGAGGAAGAGTGAGATGTACCTTTCCAGGGGGCTTCTAGGAAGCTTGGGATCCCAGACGGTCAGACACTCATAGCAAAGGACTGGGGGCCAGAGAAGGCACTGATGCCAATCTGGCCTTAAGAAATAATACCAAGAAACAAGAGTTTCTGGGGGCTCCAGGTGCTGAAGTCAGGGAGGAAGGGAGAGTATTTGGAATTCCGGATTCTGGACTCTTTTAGGCTATAAGAGAAAACCCTGGCGACACAGAGGTTGAAGCTCATGGTTGGAACTTACCAACTGCTCTGCAGGAGAAAGATCTGACTGTCTGCTTTAGTAAAGATTTAGTAATGGCTTGATGTCTGTTTTGAGTCCGAATTGACTGGGCAGTGGGGTTTTGTTTTAGGCTGTATGCAGAGGGAAACCTGTTCCTAGAAACGGAAAGGACTCCACCCTTTCCCCCCCACCCCCAGCTGAACTGGAGGGTGGACAAGGATCTGGATGACAGTTGTGAGATTTGCATGATAGAGTCTTTCTGGCCCCCTCCCCACCTTTTTTCCCCTACAGACCCCAGAGTCTCAGTCTGTGGCTCCCTCTTACCTTATGTATACATAAGGTGGGTATTCAGCCTTAAGGAGGCTCACTTAGCAGGCTAGCCTTCTGGCAGGAGAAACAGATCATTGTATCTCCAAAGCGCTTTCTGTGAGTTCCCTCGCGTCTGGCTAAAGGCGCTGAGTTTCTGCCCACCCCACAGCTCACAACAATTGGTGACAATAATAAGAAAATATCCAGGGCACACCTTCATCTCTCGAGGTGAGGAAAAAAAAACAAAAAAAAAAAACCCTAAGAAATCGGCCTAGGGTTCAAAGAGTGCTGCGGAGAGCCGGCAGTTTAAAGGGGGAGAAAATTGGCGAATTTCACTGGTCAATTTGACTTCATTTCGTTCAATTTCATTCCTTTTCATCCGGCGCCGGGAGGCCGGAGGCCGCAAAGAGGGGGAGGGGGGCTTTCCGGGCAGAATTTCCCCCATCTTGCAGATTTACTTTCTAGGGCTCGAAGACCAGCCCCGATACTCAAATTTTGAAATACGTTTTTCAGTCGCAGCTAAGGGCAGTTATTTTATTTTATTGGGGGGCAGTTGGTTTGAATGATAGGGGCACATAGATGAGCTTCTCCCCACTTCTCTCTTTCAGTCCAATTAAAGCGGTTAATTCTTTCCACTGCAGATTCCGCCCCATCTTTCTTTCTTTCTCCTAGGGCTCCCCGGACCACCCAGGAGCCAGAGTTGAGGTGGGGGCAGACACTTCCCTTCCACATCCAATTTGTTCTCGCCACAGCGGGAGCGTCTTCGTGGTTACAAAGCGCTTTTTCCCTGATGACTTTTTTTCCCTTTTCAAAAACACTTCTCTTCTACCCCTTCAACTGGCAACGCTCCCCTCCTCCCTCTCCGCTCCGGTTTATTTAAACTTCGCCTCCTCCAGCGCCGCGGTAGCGCGCACTTAATGAAGTTGAAGGCTCGGTGAGCCCGGGTGAAGAGGGTTTGGAATCTGTTGAAAGGGGCGTTTTGTGACACTGATTGGGGCGGGGGCGGTCGCAGACCAGACAATGACAGACCAGGCGGATTTTCCTCCGCAAAGGGTCAGGGTAATAAAGGCGCCGGCGAAGTCTAAACGAGGGGACCCTGTAAGAGAAAGGGAGAAAAGATTTGAGTGCGGAGCGTGCCTCCTAAAATTTCGGACTTAGGGGGAGGTGGGAGGAGGCAGTTTAGCATAGGGTCTTTATGGTCCAGATTCGTAGTTCAATTCGAACCATGCAGATTTCACCAAATAGAAGGGAGGCGAGTTTGGGTTTGCGCCTAAGTTTTGGCGATGGATGGTTCAAAAGGTAGTCCGGGTGAGAGCATGGAGATGCTTTTAGATGGTCCAACTCGGTGATGCGGCTCAGCCCACGTTAGTTCCTGGGACTGGCGCTCCGAGATTTATGGAGGAGAGTTAAAAACTAAAGATGGGCAATGGACAAGACAGGATAATTCAGGTTCCTAAGCTTTTCGTCTGTCAGGGTATTTGAGAGCAGAACAAATGACGATTGGAGTTTTGAAGCAGAATAATTCTGTTGATTAAGGTCGGAATAGACATACAACAACCGAGAAAGCTGTAGCCAGGACCAAGAGGTTCCCAGATCGGGTTTCGGGAACGAATTTTTCTGCGGACGAGTGGGCGCGGCGCGGCGCGG